AGCTGTTTTAACATCCATTTGATGGATTTCAAGACCATACACGGCCGCTATTGCCACTAACACTCTAATAGATGTTATCCTCGTTACTGGCGAGTAAGTGTCAAAGTAATTTAGGCCTTACTTTTGTCTATAACCTTTGACAACAAGTCTTGCCTTATATTTGTCAATAGTGCCATCAGCTTTCACTTTCCGTTTAAAGATCCATTTCGAACCTAAAGGCTTATTTCCCGGAGGAAGATCTACCAATTCCCATGTATGGTTATCCAAAATTGATTGAATCTCACTATTGACTGCCTCTTTCCAAAACGCTGAATCAGAAGATGACATAGCTGCTTTAAAAGTTTGAGGCTCATTTTCAAGCAAGAATGTCACAAAATCTGGTCCAAAGGAAGTAGATGTTCTTTGACGTTTGCTACGCCTTGGATCTTCTATACTTGGAGTATTTTCCTTTGGTTCTTCCCGAGGTCGTTTAGGTCTTTCACTTAATGACTCACATTCAGTTTTATACGGATAGATGCTTTCAAAGAATTCAGCATTATCTGATTCCATTACCGTATTAACGTGAATTTCGGGATTATCGGATTTATGAACCAAAAACCGACATGCTTTACTGTTTGTAGCATATCCAATGAAAACGCAATCAACAGTTTTTGGTCCGATTTTAACCCTTTTAGGTAAAGGAACTTGTACCTTTGCTAGACACCCCCACACTTTGAAATATTTCAAGTTGGGTTTTCTTCCTTTCCATTTTTCATATGGAATAGATTGCGTTTTGCTGTGGGGTACTCTGTTGAGTATTCGGTTAGCTGTAAGGATAGCTTCGCCCCACAAACTCTGCGGTAATCCGGAACTTATTAATAAAGAATTCATCATTTCCTTTAATGTCCGATTTTTCCTTTCCGCAATTCCATTGGATTGAGGTGTGTAAGGTGCAGTAGTTTGATGGATAATTCCATATTCCGAACATATTTCTGCAAATGGAAATTCATATTCTCCACCCCTATCACTTCTAATCATTTTGATCTTTTTATTCAATTGATTCTCCACTTCATTCTTGTATTGCTTAAATGCTTCAATTGCTTCATCCTTACTATTAAGCAAATAAACATAACAATATCGAGTGCAGTCATCAATAAAAGTAATAAAATACTTTTTCCCACCTCGAGATGGTGTCGACTTCATATCACAAATGTCAGTATGAATTAAGTCTAAAGGATTTGAATTCCTTTCAATAGACTTATAAGGATGTTTTACAAACTTAGACTCAACACATATTTGACATTTTGATTTATTACACTCGAATTTAGGCAACACTTCTAAATTAATTAACTTCCGCAAGGTTTTGTAATTGACATGTCCTAAACGAATATGCCATAAATCATTTGACTCCAATAAATAAGAAGAAGCTGCAATTTTATTCATACTGTCAACAACCATTACATTTAGTTTGAAGAGGCCCTCTGTGAGGTAGCCCTTTCCAACATACATTTCATTCTTGCTTACAACAACTTTATCAGAAACAAATACACATTTGAATCCATTCTTAACAAGCAAAGAAGTAGAAACTAAATTCTTCCTAATAGTAGGAACATGAAGAACGTTGTTGAGCGTTAACACCTTGCCGGAAGTCATCTTCAGGAATATTTTCCCATAACCTTCAATCTTGGCTGTTGCAGTATTTCCCATGGAAAGCTCTTCTTCGGGACCAGCAGTAGAGTAAGTCGCAAATGCTTCCTTGACAGCACAAACATGTCGAGTGGCTCCAGAGTCAATCCACCACTCCTTCGGATTTCCAACTAGGTTGCATTCCGAAAGCATTGCACACAGATCATCAATGTCATCATTCTTCTCCACTATGTTGGCCTGTCCCTTCTTCTTATACTTTTTCGGGAGACGACAATCAGGGGCTTTGTGACCGGTTTTTCCACAATTGTAGCAGCTGCCCTTGAATTTCTTTTTGTTCTGCTCCTTAGTCTGTCCAGAAGACCTCTTTCTCTTCTTACTTTTTGGAGCAGTCTCCTCAACGATATTAGCTCCCATGATCGTTGAATTTCCACGAGACTTCTTCTCGGCTGTTTTGTTGTCTTCCTCAATCTTGAGACGAATCACAAGATCTTCCAACTTCATTTCTTTGCGCTTGTGCTTAAGATAGTTCTTGAAATCTCTTTACGAAGGAGGCAATTTTTCAATCATTGCAGCCACTTGAAAATGCTTCATTCACGACCATACCTTCAGCAATAAGTCATGAAAAATAAGTTGAAGCTCCTGAACTTGGATTCCAACAGTTTTACTGTCTATCATTTTATAGCCTAGAAACTTGGCAACCACGAACTTCTTCAAGCATGCATCTTCAGTCTTGTACTTCTTCTCAAGTGCGCCCCATAATTCTTTCGAAGTATTCATCGCACTGTACACATTGTACAAGTCATCCTCTAAAGCGCTTAAGATATAGCCTTTGCAAAGAAAATCTGCCTACTTCCACACCTCAACAATCATAAATTTCTCGTTGTCCGGCATGTCCGCAGCAGGCACTGGAGGTTCTTCGCTAGTGAATTTCTGCATACCAAGTGTGGTAAGCCAGAAGAACACCCTTTGCTGCCATCCTTTGAAGTTGGCTCCGGAAAATTTTTCCGGTTTCTCTGCCGGTGGAACAGCAGTCCGGCTTGACGAGGCTATCGTCATTACCGCAATAGTCGCAGTAGAATGTTATCAATTGCCATTTCTCACTGTAAACAACAGAAGAGTTCAATTAATGGCAAAATCAGAACAGTACACAATACTGTTATTAACAACAACAAAAAAACAGTATGTATAATAAATAAAACCGAAGTTTTTATATACTGTTTTACAGAAAAACGATGAAGTTTTTATGTTCTTCAAATCGTCTTACGAATTTCAATACTCTGATGAAGTTTTTATATCTTCAAATCAGAATAGTAAAATTCAGAAGGAGTAGAAAATCACACAGGTTTTAATCTCCACAAACAAAATACAGAATATAAAAAAAAAAAAATTTCCTTAAGATTGTTAATATTCTGTATTGCTGTAATAAACAATTAAACTTTCTGAAAAAATAAAACAGAAAGTTAGTAATACTTGTTTAACGAAATAGATTCTGGAAAATAAGAAAACAGTATAGGAATAAATCGAGCCCACTGGAATATATAGAACGATTTAACTCACCAGTGTATAGATAATCAATCAATCGATCTTTGACCGAATCCGAAACCGAAGCCGAAGCCGAAGGCGAAGCCGAGCGAGCGACGACGACGGCGCGAGGCTTGCCTTTTTCTTAACTCTTTAAGAGCTAGAAGAAGAGCAATTATATATATACCCATCAAAAGCTTTTTCTTCCTCCGATATGGGACAATGTCTCTTTCCCAAGGGAAACTCAAATATTTCATTTTTCCTCCATTTCTCATTCACCCTCTTTAAGCTACGCAAGCTTAAAATCCCAACAACCGTTGCATTAGTTATAAAAACCGCTGCAATAGATGTAGTTACTTTAATTGTTCCTGTAATTCCTCTACAACAACGGTTCATTAAAAATATTAGCTATAGAGACGGTTTTCAGTTCCCTCCCCACTTTCCCTCTTCTATTTTCCCAAGTCCTTTTTAAGTCTTTTTATATTCTACTTTTGTTTTGTTATTTTGTCAAAAGAAGAACACCTCTCTCGAACACATTGGCTCTGAAATCTTTCTGCGAGCAACAAACTCTCTTAGAGGAGCCGAGAATCAAAACTTTGAAATCTGATCTTCAGAGGTTTGAAGAACCGTGTCGAATCTCTGAAGGAGCTCTGAACTCGGTGTCTCGATCTCTTCAACTTGATTCATAGTTGCATGATCAAAGGTAAGAAAATCCAGATCTAGACCTCAATTTCTCAATTTTCAACATTTTTCTGGTATTTCACGAATTTCTTGAATGGTGATAATTTATGTGCGTATATTTTTGTAGCTAGGGTTTTGAATTTATTTGTTTGTAGTTAGAGTTTCGAATTGAATATACTGTTGTTGCGCATGTATAGTTTTGTACATTCAGATCTATTAGTAAATTTTTTTCTTTTTCTTTTTCATTCTTTCAAGGAAAAGGGTAGTATTTAAACCCTAAAGTTGCTATTTGGTCGGGTTTTCTGGGGTTAATTTTAATTTCTGCTGGTTAGAGTCATAAAATGACATTCTTGGTAGAAGAAACAGAGAAACCCATGCCTATAGTACAAAATTAGTGATAATGGAAAAACGATACTCTTGCTGTGAAAAGTATTTGCAGTTTTTCTATAGTCATCTTCCTCTTTGAAGTTTGGAGACCATCTAAATACAATATTCGATCTGAGCTCATACTTCTGAGGTCCTTTTGCCTTCAGTCAGTCTTATTTTTTATTACATACCTCCTGACAAAGCCACGGTAGAGAATTGCATTCTGCAAGCCTAGATAATATTGAACTTAAGTTTGGTATGCAGCCAACGATGCTTGAACTACATAGGAATACTAATATTATTCTTTTTCTTCTTCTCAAATGTGATTGTAATATGATAAACGTTTACAATTTAGATACATTGCATATTGCATGTGAATATATCTTATCTAGGTAAAAGAATTAGCTAATACATTGTCAATGTTCTTAATTGATAATATGGCATATATTCAGATCATTATTTGTATGACTAGATAATTATACTAAAAAGCAGTTTGGTGAATTGATTGAAAATTTTGAAAGCTAAAACTTATACCTGTAAGCACTTTAAGCTACTAAACTTTACGTGTAAAGTGTCAAGGGTTTAGTCAGCTTCTTTTCTATATGTCATGTGAAAATGTCTTCTTAGTGGATCTTGTGGTTCTGTTTTGCTTTTGTAATTCACAGGTTCAAGCAACATATACGGGTATTAAATATTGTTAGCAATTGGCTTTATCACAACTTATTTTATGTGATATACAATGGCTTTCTTGAAGGTATACCCATTACTTACAGTGCATTTCCAAGCTTTATAAATTTTTTCTTTTGGTTCATGGCTTAGTAGATATATTATTCTTGGCTTTTGGTTTACATATATCATTCAAGAGAGACATGCTTGAATAGTAATATATTTTTTTCTCGTTATATATATAATATATATATATATATATATATATTCTCTTTTATCAGTTTGTCTTTTTATTTTGAAAAGGATATTGGTGGCTCTGTTTGTCGAATTAAACGTCAACTACTGTTATTCATATACTATGTCTCTTTTTTCTTGCCAACTATACTCTATTACTATTCACTAAGTTTTTGAACATGTTTGGCAATATATTTTCTCTAATCTGCAGAAATTTGATACACAACACATATATGTACTTGCCTTTTTAGTATCAGTTTCTTCTCTTTCAACGGATAGTTATATATCAGTTCATTAGTAGCTTTATATGTGATGTATAATTTTAGTTTGGTACTATAACTTGAAAACAAAACAACGTCGTAAAGAATTTACTGAAACTTGAATGTAATTGTTGTTGTGGTAAGTTTTGTTTTTCATATATGAGTTTGGAGTTCTTACACTTTTAGTTGGGTATGCAACTCTGTCAACGTTTCACTTTTGATTGTTGGTAGTTTAACATTTAGACCATGACGTTTCGGATCAAACAGTAAAGTATATTGAGAAATAGAGCTTCTTGTTAATTTCTTCAGGTGAAAAAACTTTGAATAATTACAGGTAAAAAAACTTTGAATAGTTACAGGTGAAAAAGTACTGTACTAACAAGAAGCTTCCTCCTGAGAGGTGTTCCAATCAACTTATCTCTATTTCTCAATATAGTAGTTTAATTGTTTATGGGATGAATTGGTCAACGGGGTGATGGGCCATAGTATAAGACTATAAGTTGTAGGACTATGTTGTTTGTAGAAATTCACCAGCATCTTGCAACAGAAAGGGAAGCAGTAGATCATCTATGGTATATTATTTATGCTTTGGTGGTTTATACCTCTGTCCATCATTCCATGTGATAATTTTTTTTTCTGGATTCCAGGTAATTGAAGAAAAGGACTTTAGCATACTTCCAATAAATAACTCTTTTATTGCCCAGAAGAAATATTGCTTGGTTCAGTTTGAAACTCTACCCTATTCCACAAGAGCAATGCTTATCCTGGACCTCACTATTTATATTTTAGCATTCAACTAAGTTTATTTTCTGCCTTTTATTTTTTAATTAATTGTATGTAACCAAATCTAGTAGTGATTGGATTTTTGATGGTTTTATAGGTGAAGCAAATGAACAAGGGTAGATGAATGCGGTGAAGACCTTACTGAAGAGTATTGGTTGATTGCTTATAGACTTTAAGATGTTCTAGAATCTTGTGTTTTAAATTATTTTGCAATCTTATGTATTAACTCTTGAATTGTCTAACAATATTATGTATTTTGCTTTTATATATGAATAATAATAATAGTTGAATATGTTGGATTCCAATTTTGTTGGTGAGTATTTCCTTTGTGATTTATATTAGTTTTAAGATATTATATTTTATTATATACGGTTGCAATAGCTCCTAATAACTGTTGCAATAGCTCCTAATAACCGTTGCAAAAGCTCCTAGTAACCGTTGCAATAGCTCTTAATAATGGTACCATAGCTCTTATTAACCGTTGCAATAGCCTCACTTATCATTGCATAGAATGATATCGCAACGATTTTGAACCGTTCTATTTGACTGTATAACCGTTGCAATAGAATGTCCTATGTCGACGCATTGAAAACCGTTGCAATAACAAACTTATTGGAACAGATGTGCAACCGTTGCTAGAAACCGTTGCAACAGCTCTATTAGCATGCGACCTGGTGGAAAGTCTCAAAAACCGTTGCAATACGTCTGTTGCAACGGTTTGACTATCGATGGCAACTGTCTTAGAACCGTTGTCGTAGCTCTGTTTTCTAGTAGTGTACTAACTTTATATCATAATTCTCGACCTCTACACCCTCATATCAAGGGCATATCATCTGAAAGTTGAAGTTGTGCCATGTCAAGTGTAAAGACCCGACCGGTCGTTTTGAGAATTTGCATTTAATTTGGTGGTTTGAGGTCACGGGTAACTTCATATGGTGCATTATGACTTGCATGTGAAGTCAGTTTTGGTTTTTGAGTGGTTCAAGATTGATTTGGAAGAATAATTCTTATTTTAGAAGCTTTGAGTTAGAAGAGTTGACCAAGTTTGATTTTTGTATATTTGACTTCGGATCGGAGTTTTTATGGTTCTGTTAGGTCCGTATGGTGATTTTGTACATGGGTGTATGCCCCAATTTGCATTTAGATGTTTTTAGAAGGTTTTGGCTCTAATTAGTGAAAGTTGGTTGAAGGTTTTGAAAGTTCATAAGTTTGACCAGGAGTTGACTTAGATGTTATCGGGCTCAGATTATTGTTCTGGAAGTTGAAATAGGTTTGTTGTGTCATTTGGAACTTGTGTGCAAAATTTGAGGTGATTCAGAGTTGTTTAGACTTGTTCGGTGTAAGTTTGAAATTTAGAAATTTTAAAAAGTTTATTAAACTTGAATTGTAGTGCGATTCGATGTTTTAATGTTATTATGTGTGATTTGAGGTCTCGAGTAGGTCCGTTTTATATTTTGAAACTTGTTTGTATGATCAGACGGGCTTCCGAAGGGCTCGGATGAGTTTTGGGGTGGTTTCAGACCATTTTCTTTCATAATTGCATTGCTTGTTTTTCTCAGATTATTAGTGCTGTATGCCTTCTTCGCGATAGTGAGAGGGAGAGCGCGATCGCGTTCGTGGAGCTTTGAGTGGTTGATTGCATAGCGATCGCATTAGTAGGTCGTGTTCGAGTTTCAGAACTGGGGGCTGGTGGTGTAGCCTTTGCATTTGCGAGGGTGAGGCCTCGTTCGCGAAGGTTGTGCCTCTTTGGGAATCGCGTTCGCGATTATAGGGCCGCGAACACGAAGTGTATTTATGTGGGCAATGAAGTTGTGCTTCGCGATCACGAAGCTGGTCTGCGCGATCACGAAGTGTTTACTTGGAGCAGTGTTATAAGTACTCTATTTCGAAAGTTTTGGTTATTTTATCACAATTTGAGTTATAGAGCTCGGATTTGGGCGATCTTGGAGGAAATTTTCACGATTTGGATTGGGGTAAGTATTTTTGACTTGGATCTGATTATTTTACATGATTCCATCTTTGATTTTGGCATTTAAGTGATGAATCTAACAGAGAAATTGGGGGTTTTGAACGCATATGATAGAGTATCATGGATAGTCTTTTGATGGGTGATATAGAAGACAGAAATTTATATTAAATATATAAATATCATAAAGGACATGTATGATAGAGCTGTCACTAGTGTAAAAATAGTAGTAGGAGATACAACTGAGTTTCCCATAGCAGTGGATTTACACTAGGGATCTTCATTGAGTCCTAATTATTTACCCTAATTATGGATGAGCTAACCAATGCAATACGAGATAAAGTCCCATGGTGTATGGTATTTGGTAATGATATTGTGCTAATTTGTAACGACCTGACCAGTAGTTTTAGCACTTTGTTGGAATATCTGAGACCTTGAGAAGATTTATATGGTGCATTATTACTCACATGTATTGGTGGTTTTGATTTTCGAGAGGTTTGGAGTTGATGTGGTAGAGTAATTCTCAATTAGGAAGCTTTAAGTTGGAAGAGTTGACCAATATTTGACTTTTGAATAAATGATCTCGCATTCGTATTTTGATAGTTTCAATAGGTTTATATGATGATTTTTTACTTGGGCATAAGTTCAGATTTGAATTTGGATATTCCTAGAAGGTTTTAGCTCTATTTGTCGAAAGTTGGCAATTTGAAGAACTGGAGAGTCCACAAGTTTGACCAGGAGGCTTTGGGGCTATTAGGATTGGATTGTTATTCCGGGAATAGTAATAGGTCCATTTCGTTATTTGGGACTTGTGTGCAAAGTTCGAGTTCATTCCGAATTAGTTAGGCTTGAATCAGACGCTTGATTTGAAGTTGGAAGTTTATAAATTTAAGAGATTGATCTTGATCGATGATTCTAGGTTTTGATATTAATTATGTATTTTAAGCCTTTGGATAAGCTTAGATAATGTATTTGAACCTATTAGTATGATTGGACTGGGTCCCCTGGGGCTCAGGTGAGTTTCGGGGTAGTTTCAGGCTACTTGGGGTTGTATTGCATTGCTAATTTTTGGTGTTCTCCTGATGAGCTTTGCAATCGCGGCAGGAGCTCCGCGATCGCGTAGGGTGTTTTTGGGTACAACAGATTTTGTTCATCACATTTAGGTATATAGCTTTGCGTTCACGAAGCGTTGGGAGTCATCGATCAGTAGAGGTTCACGTTCGCGACTCCTCTTCCGCGTTCGCGCAATTGGGAGGCCAGTTGTCCTACGTGTTCTTGTGCTACATGCCGCGTTCGTGAAGCATTTTCTGAGGCTATGTGGGATTTGTGCATCGCGATTGTCATTGTGGTGCCGCGATCGCGATGAGTACTGTTGGGCAGTGCATTTAAGTTATCAATTTCGGTACTTTGCCTATTATTTCATATTTTGAGCTCTAGACTTCGAGAAGAGGATATTTGAATAACAATTTCACTAGTACATTGGAGGTAAGCAATTTTCACTTGGATTTGGCTTTACATCTTGATTACCCATGGATTCTACACCTAAAACTTGGAGTTTTGAAAGTAAATTTGGGGTTTTGCCTACATTTTAAGATATTTTGGGAATTTGAGTATCGATTTTGTGATGATCCGATAGGTCATCTCATGTTTTGAAACCTAATTCTGTGATTCGAAGGCTTAAAAATCATGTTTTAGCCTTTTTCGATTTGCGTGCGCAGTCCGGCGTCTTTCCGTAAAACCTTTATGTTAAAAACTGATAAAAATAAGAATTTATGCCTTAAAAATTAATTTGAGTTGACTTCGATCAACATTTTGAGTAAACGGACCTGGATCCGTGTTTTAACGCTCCCGGTAGGTCCGTATCATAATTTGGGACCTGGGCGTATGCCCGGAATCGAATTCCGAGGTCCCTAGCTCGAGATATGGGATTTTGATGAAAAATTAAAAGTTTGAAAGTTTAATGATTTTTAGAATTGACTGATGTTTAGTCTTGTCGATACCGGGTCCTTATTTTGGTTCCGGAGCCCATTACAGGTCCATTATTATATTTATGACTTGTCTGTGAAATTTGGTGAGAAACGAAGTTAGTTTGACATGATTCGAATGTTCGATGTGAAAATAGAAGTTTTAAGGTCTTCTTGAAAATTTTATTTAATTTGGTGTCCGATTCGTAGTTTTAGGCGTTATTTTGGTGTTTTGGTCACACGAGCGAGTTCGTATGATACTTTTGGACTTGTGTGCATATTTGGTTTGGAGCCCCGAGGGCTCGAGTGAGTTTCGGATAGGCTACGGGTGTTTTGAAACTTAGAAAAATCTGGTTTTTGGCTTCAGCTGTTATCTGGTGTTTCCTTCATCGCGTTCGCGGAGGTACTCTCGCGAACGCGAAAGGTAAAATGGGGAAGGATGATTTCCTTCTACGTGAATGCGGTAGCTAGCTCGCGAACGCGAGGCAGTGTGGGCTTACCCTTTGCGAACGCGACCAGCTTCTCACGATCGCGAAGCTTGAGGGACCCGGGGAGGGGACACTCATTCTTCTACGCGAATGCGAGCACTGGCTCGCGAACGCGGAGGCCAGGGGGGAACAGCCTTCACTAACGCGAAGAGGAACTCGCGAACGCTAAAGACATTTGGGCTGCTACACATCGCAAACGCGAAGAAGGCCTGATGCCCAGACCTTAAGACATTTCAAAAATGGGATTTTACCCATTTTTCATAAACTCTCCATTAGAGCTCGGCCTAGGTGCGATTTTGAAGGGAAAACTCAACACCAATTCATAGGTTTGTACTCTTTAACTCATTTTCTTCCATTTCTATAATCACCCATTAAATTCCTAGCCCTAATCTTTGTTCTTTCATGGTAGAAAACTAGGAATTTAGGAAGAATTGGGGTTTTTTTTTGCAAATTGGGGATTTAGACCTCAATTTGGGGTTGAATTCCGAAACTAATTATATAATCGGGCTCGGGGGTGAGCGGGTAAATGGATTTTGGTCTGAACCTCGGGTTTTGACCAAGCAAGCCCGGGGTCGATTTTTGACTTTTTGGGGGAAAGTTTGGGGAATCTAAATTTATGCAATGTAATTGATTTCTTTAGCAATATTTGATATTATTGAGTCGTTTGTGAATAGATACGAGTGGTTTGGAGGTGGATTCTAGAGGTAAAGCGGTAATTGAGCATTGAGTGGCCTTTGGAGCGAGGTAAGTGTCGTGGTTAACCTTGACTTGAGGGAATAGGACTTGTTTGTCTGTTTGCTACATGTTTAAATATTGGGGAACAACGTATATGTGAGGTGACGACTACTTATGCATTGTAGTCGGGTTAAAGCATGCGGGCGGGGCTTGGT